GCAAGATCGGAAAGGACACCTTTACCATGGACTACAGATACCCGCTTACGGCCTTCCAGGTGCGTAGTGCATGTGCCAAGTGCGTGCTGCTCTGTTTGGCTGAGGGTAGCTCATAGAGAGGAGCGGACCGGGGAACGACTCTGATAAGCCAGTGCTGCTGCAGTGTGGGAAGATTGGCAAGGACACTTTCACCATGGATAACAGATACCCGCTTACTGACTCCAGGTGGGTAGTGAAGTGCTGTTTCATGTGGTTAAAAATCGGTGCTCTGCCAGTGCTGCTGCTGCAGTTTGGCAAGATCGGCAAGGACACATTCACCATGGACTACAGATACCCGCTCACGGCCTTCCAGGTGGGTAGTGCTGCGTGTTCAGGGTGAGTTTCCTTTCAGGTATTGATACGCATGCAAGCCGGTGTTGCTGCAGTTGGGAAGATTGGCAAGGACACATTCACCATGGACTACAGATATCCACTCACGGCCTTCCAGGTAAGTGTGGACGGCCAGGTGTTTCCTCAGGTTTGTCTTTGGGTATCGTGTCAATACGCTTTCCCCATCTCCCGTCTCCCCGTGTTCTCTTCCCCTTGCCTTCTGGGCTGTTTTCTTTGTGCGTGCCCACATGTCACATGTCACATGTGCTTTCCTTGCTTCATATCACATGTCTGACGGATTGTTTTCTGCTTTGTATGTGTTCCCACGTCATGTGTGTTTTCCCTACATTATGCGTGCAGGCGTTTGCCATTTGCCTGAGCAGTTTCGATACCAAAGTGGCGTGCGAGTGATTCCATCATCACTTCCATCATCAGTTGAAAGCTTTTCAAGCTGTTGTTTTGTCGAGTCCAAAATCCACGTGCGAGCGAAATAGTGACACCGACGGCTTTTCGCGTTGCGTTCTAGATATGGTGTGGTGTGGTGTGGTACTGATGATGCGTGAAGAGGATTCCTCACTCAGGAACAACCAAGGGCAACAAATGAAAAAAAGACAGCGTGATGATATCTGGGAGACTGGAAAAGGGCATGTGCGTTGTGCTGATACAGCGGGTGGTGGTGGTGGTGTATTTTTTCTGCTTTGTGGTGCAATGCTGCGGATGAAAAGGTACTGGTAAGTTTCCTCTGGAGGAACGGGATTGTCTTTTGTGTACCTCGGATATGGGTTGGTTATTAAGGTTTGGACAATTGTGTTTAGGGACGGATGGTGATGACTGATTCAGGGATGTAGTCATGCTGGTGCCCTTGTTTGTTATTCCTGTACTCTTTGTATTGTAACGAAATTGTGGCTTATGTTTGTATCAGAGTAGAAGTTCACGGTACCTCTGTAGCTGAAGTGCATCTGCCCGTATCGGGTACAACCGGTTACCAGATTCCTCCTAAAGCTTGGACAATTGTCGGTTCAGCTGGTTCTACAACGGTCAATTTGATACCTAGGCTGGTTGGTTAGGGTATATCGGGACGCTGATTCAAATCTGACCGACTAATAAATGGGACGAGCAGTCGTGTGTGTTGGAGTGGTTCGCAGAACCACACTAACGACGGCGCTCATTATTCGGACCGACGACTAAGACGGACTGACGGTGGCGTGTTGACAGTGCCTTGGGAACTAGAGAGGAAACTACGACATTGCTTGGGAGTATGAGCTACGGCAAGAGAAGTATGGAAGGAAGACATTGACGAGGAGGAAGTGAGGAGAAAGTGATCGACGGGGGGAAATTGTGTGGGTCAACTGTGGCGTGTTCAGCAAGGAACCAAATGCGGACTTCAGGCGCGTTCGACGAAGGTGGAGAAAGGTTGCGTGTGCGACGCGGGGTGAAACGAGGCGCCACGTAACGTGTTGGACACGTTTTGTTACCTAGCCCATTTTGTACCTTGCTTGAACCTATATATTTGTTGTACCAGGTTGTTGAAGTAACACTTTGAAATTCTATCGCTTCAAACATTGTGTTCAATCCTGATTGGTCGAAACTTTGAGCATTTGATGAGACTCCCGTCAGATTCGCGTCAAACCTACGGAGAAGCCTTTGTGAAGGCTTAGACAAGCATTAGTGACGGAAATTTCAGCCGCGAGACTCCCGTCAAAGCCCTGCGAAGGGCCGAACCTGTTTCACTCGAGTGTAGGGCCCGCGAAAGCCCCGTGAAGGATCAGTGAAGACCACGCGAAGCAGAAATCGCCTCAGGATCGCGTCAGGGTTGAGTAAAGGCCTCGTCGAGGCCCCGTTAAGGCCGCGTAAGCCTCCCGTGAGGCGTTTCGCGACCAACACTGTGCTTCTACTTCGTTGCTGTGACATAGCCATTTCTACGAGCTTCACTAGAATCCAGTTTTCTACGAGCTTCGCTAGAATCCAGTTTTCCTCCGCTCGATCTGATTGGTCGACGGGTTCTCGTGGCGGATAGCCCTGGAGCTGACGTGGCAGGGGGTGGAGCTGTCGTGGCAGGGTCTGAGGGAGCCAAACCAGGGCAGGAAGGTTCTGAGAAGCAGACAAAGGCTGCAAGTGGGGGGGCGAGTGGGAGGCGAGGGGGAGGTAGAACTGGTGTAGGCAGTATCTTCCTGATGGGGGGCCAAGGAGACAAGGAGCAAGGAGAGAGGGGCCAGATCCCAACAATGAAGCGGGAAGTGGTTTCAGGGATAAAAGTGCTTATAAAGGGGGAAGGTGGGGGTGGGGGAGGTTCGGCAGCGGGTGGTTCGGGCCGAACCCGGCTCATGCCAAGCCCGAACCTCCCAATTGCAGCTCCCGTGTTTGTTAAACCAAGCAGTGCTAACAGTAGTACCAATGGTGCTAGTGGTACTGGTGGTGCTGCTGTTGCTGGTGGTGCTGCTGCTGGTGGTGCTAGTTCAAATGAGGCAACTGGGCAAGGCAAGAAGGGCGGTAAGGGGAAGAAGGGGCAGCAGGAGCAGCAGCACGTGAAGGAGCAGGAGAGTGACAGAAGGAGAGGTGCTTATAAGGAGGGCATGGCGAGGCTTCAGCATGATTCCCCACTGATGGAAGCTATGAGGGAGATAGAGGAGGAGGTGGGGGGGAGGAGCGGGGGGGGCGGGAACAGAAGGACCCGCGACCGCTGCGTGGAGTGCTTCATTCGCCGCTCGCGCAAGACCGGCACGTTCACGCTGTTTCTGGGCGTGCCGCCGAATTCGACGGAGAACGGCAAGTTCCTGCTCGCGGCGCGCAAGTGCGGCTGGCGGCCGTCAAGGTAAGCGGATAGCCGACTGCTTTAAAAAATCGTTTGACCCTAAACCGGAGTTGGTGTTTGTGCTTGTAGCCCTATTCTGCCCGTTTAACAAACCCTTGTTTGTGCTGGTTACGCTAATGCCTTCGTTCGCTTCAAATCGCACACCTGAGTTTGTGTCTCGCAAATTCACGTTTGCATGGAAAAAGTGTTTGTGCTGGTCACCCTATTGTGTCCGTTTCGCTCTGTTTCGCAACTTTCGAAATCATTCCAGCATGGAGTACGTGGTCTCGCTGGATCCGAAAGACTTTTCGCGCGGCGGAAGTTCGTTCGTCGGTCGCCTGCGAGCGAATTTCCTAAGCACGCGATTTGCCGTCTTTGAATCGTCGCACGAGGTGAGCGATGAAACCTGAGTTCGTTCGCATCGCACAATGTTAGGAAGGTTACAGTTCTACAACCGACTTTTGAGTCGTCTTAGAATAGACTTTTTTCACACAATATTAAGAAGGTTACACTCCTTCAACCGAGGTGTTTTAGAGTTTGAGTAGTTAGGGGTAACTTGGATGTGAAGACTTCTAGAAGAAGCTTACGGCTCTTCAACCCGCACCCGTATTTGCTACAGTATTGGAGTTCTTCTTTCGTAGTGTATATTGTCTTGACGGATCCGCCGCAGCTACCATAGCGCTCGACACCCAGGGTGTAAGAAAGCTGTCGCGAATGCCATAGGCGAGAAAAATTGCACCCAGTAACGCAGTATTTATCTTCCAAGCCCAAAACTGTCGAAGCTCCTCTCGGCGTCCGTTAATTTGCGCCAATTTTACCGTTTCGCCTGCCCCCCCATTCCTCTCCCTCCCCTCCTCACCCTCACCCCCCCCCCCCCCCCCCCCCTCCGCCCTCCCGTCCCCCCCGCGCCGCATTTCCTGCGCATTTCCTCGTGCAGCCCGCGTTTTCTCTCGGCGCGGCGTCGCTGGCGCACGGCGGAAGCAGCAGCAGCAGCCGCAAGGTGCATCCCCGCGGAGCCGCTTTTTCCGCCAACGGTTACCACCACTGTAACCACTGTAGCAATCGGTGTGGTAACCACCATTGTGGTTACAACTGTGGCAGCAGCAGCACGGGCAGCAGAGGGGCCGGCACCCCTGTCGCGTGTAACGGTAACTTGGGCAGCTTTAACGGTTCCAGCTGTAGCGGCGCCAGCTGTAGCAGGGGTAGCGACGGGACAGGATTACTCGGCGCAGGTATTACCAGCAGTAGTGGCAGCGGCAGCGCCATTGGTGGTCGGGGCGATTGTAACGGCGCAAATGACGCTGACACGGCCACGTCAGCAGCGGTATCGTCAAGCCTCCGCGCACATTCCCCGCTTCCGCCTTCCCCCCTTGCTCGAAGCTTCCCTCTTCCGCGCTGTCTTCCGCCTCTCCCGCCGCCCGTTCTTGCGCATACAGGCTCAGTGGGGGGAAGGGGGAGGCGGGGGGGATTGTGAGTGAGTTTGAGTGGGGAGGGGGGGAGAGAGAGGAGGTGACTGTAGAAGAAGTGACTGAAGGGAGAGTGGGAGGGCGGGAGGAAGAGGGGAAGGGAGAGAGAGGGGAGGGGAAGAGAGTGGAGAGAGGGGAGGTAGAGAGGGAGGAGGGGACGGGAGAGGAGAGGAGGAAGAACGAGACCGAGGAGAGGCAAGAGAAGGAGGAGAGGGAGGAGGAGGAGAGATTGCTGGTGAGGCTCACTGGGAGTGGAGAAGAGGAGGGGGAGGGCGAGAAGCAAGAATGCACAGCAGCGGAGGAAGCAAGGGAAGCGAGGGAAGCAAGGTCACCACCCACAATCTGCACAAGAGAGCCCTTGGTCTCGTTCCCAGAGAGTGGGGAAGAGATGGGTGCGGGAGAGAGAATGGGGAGCAGTGGTAAGGAGGAGAGCAATGAGCAGCAGAGCATGCGAGAGGAGGGTGTGGAAGCAGGGGGGCAGTGGGAGAAGAAGAGTCAAGAGGAGAGCAGTCCGGAGGACGGGAGTTTAGAGGAGGGGAATCAGCAGGAGGAGTGTGGGGATTGGCCGACAGACGGCGCGTGTGAGCAGCAGGAGAGCAGTGGAGAGGGAAGGAGTGAGCAGGAGGGCAATCAGGGTTGGTTGCAAGGCGGAGGTTTCCAGGTGGCTTTTGAGTCAACTCAAATCACGCAAGGCGGAGGTTTCCAGGAAAGCAGCGGCAGCGAAGGCCTTCATATCTCCCCCTTCCCCGCCTCCGCGGACCCCTTCCTTCCCCCTGCTGCCCTTGAGCTTCCCCCTGCCGCCCTGCCCTTGCCCCTGCCCCTGCCCCTGCCCCTGCCCTGCCCTGCCCCTGCCCCTGCCCCTGCCCTTGCCCACATTGGAACTAGAAGCGGCACTAACAGCAGCAGCAGCAGCAGCAGCATCAGCAGCAACAGCAAGCGGAACGGCATGGTCAGAAGCAGCAGCAGCAAGAGCTGTGGCTTCACCAGAAGCAGCAGCAGCAAGAGCTGTGGCTTCACCAGAAGCAGCAGCAGCAGGTGCCAGAGCTGCGGCGGCTGTCACTCCCCCGTTCGCCTCCTCCTCTCTCCCCTCGGGTCCCTTGACTCCCCCATTCACCCCTTCCTCTCTCCCTGCTGCAGCTGCGACTCCCCCATTTGCTGCTTCGTCTGCCCCGTCTCCTGCCGCCCTTCCTGCTGCTCCTTCTGCTTCTGCTGCTCCTTCCCCTGCTGCTGCGCCTCCTGCTTTCAATGCAGAGGCAGATGCGGAGGGTGACACTGAGGGTGACTGTACGGAGTGTGACTGTGTGCGGTGCATCGGCCGAGCGCCTCTAGAGCCCATGGTGTTGCGGAACAAGCCACCCAGATGGCACGAGCAGCTGCAGGTATGTGTGTTTATTGGGGAATGAGGAGCGGTGCACAGCAGTACAGGGGAGTATTAAGCGGTGTTCGTATGGAAATAGATGAAGCCGAGCGCCCTTAGAGCCCATGGTGTTGCGGAACAAGCCTCCCAGATGGCACGAGCAGCTGCAGGTATGTGTGTGGGTGCTGGGGGGTGGGAAGCGGTGCACGGGAGTACAGGGTAGTTCAAGGGAGTATGAGGCCGAGCGCCTCTGGAGCCCATGGCGTTGCGGAACAAGTCTCGCAGATGGCACGAGCAGCTGCAGGTGAGGGGATACAAGGGGATATGGAGGAGTGCAAAGGAGTATAAGGGAGTATATGGGAGTATAGGGCAATATAAAGCTTTTTATCATGGGCCGAGCGCCCCTAGAGACTGTGGTATCGAGGAACAAGCCTCCCCGGTGGCACGCGCAGCTGCAGGTGTGTGTGTATTGAGGAAGGCAATTACAGATTAGAAAGCGAAATCTATCATGAAACATTGGGCCGAGCGCTCCCTCCCCTCCCCTCGCCTCCCCTCCTCGCCTTCCAGTGCTGGTGCCTCAACTTCAGAGGGCGAGTAACGGTTGCTTCGGTGAACAACTTCCAGCTGATAGAGGAGGGTGGGCCGGGGAGCATCTCAAATAAGGCCCTTCCAATCCTCCCTTGCATCCCCTTTTCCTGTCCATCCCATACACGCTTCCAGTGCTGGTGCCTCAACTTCAGGGGGCGAGTGACAGGGGGTGCTTCTGTGAAGAATTTCCAGCTGATAGAGGGGGGGGGGGGGCGGGGAACGACTCGGACAAGCCCCCTTCTCATCCCGCCCTTGCCTCCCCTTGCCTGCCCTCCCCCTCCCACACTGCCAGTGCTGGTGCTTGAACTTCAGGGGGCGAGTGACAGTGGCTTCAGTGAAGAACTTCCAGCTGATCGAGGGGGGCGGGCCGGGGAACGACTCTGACAAGCCGGTGCTGCTCCCCCCTTTCCCACCCCCTACCCGCCTCCCCTTTCCCGTACTCCCTTGCAGTGTTGGTGCCTCAACTTCCGTGGCCGCGTGACAGTAGCATCAGTGAAGAATTTTCAGCTGATAGAGGGGGGCGGGCCGGGGAACGACTCGGACAAGCCGGTGCTGCTGCAGTTCGGGAAGATTGACAAGGACGCTTTTACTATGGACTACAGATATCCACTCACGGCCTTCCAGGTGTGTTATTCTAGCACAAGTGCTGGTGTGTATGGTGCGGTGCCCTGAAGGTGTTGCTGCAGTTTGGGAAGATTGGCAAGGACACGTTCACCATGGACTACAGATACCCGCTTACTGCCTTCCAGGTGGGTGCTTCTTCTTTGAATGCTAGTGTGTATGGTTCGGAGCCCTGCCGGTGCTGCTGCTGCAGTTTGGCAAGATCGGAAAGGACACCTTTACCATGGACTACAGATACCCGCTTACGGCCTTCCAGGTGCGTAGTGCATGTGCCAAGTGCGTGCTGCTCTGTTTGGCTGAGGGTAGCTCATAGAGAGGAGCGGACCGGGGAACGACTCTGATAAGCCAGTGCTGCTGCAGTGTGGGAAGATTGGCAAGGACACTTTCACCATGGATAACAGATACCCGCTTACTGACTCCAGGTGGGTAGTGAAGTGCTGTTTCATGTGGTTAAAAATCGGTGCTCTGCCAGTGCTGCTGCTGCAGTTTGGCAAGATCGGCAAGGACACATTCACCATGGACTACAGATACCCGCTCACGGCCTTCCAGGTGGGTAGTGCTGCGTGTTCAGGGTGAGTTTCCTTTCAGGTATTGATACGCATGCAAGCCGGTGTTGCTGCAGTTGGGAAGATTGGCAAGGACACATTCACCATGGACTACAGATATCCACTCACGGCCTTCCAGGTAAGTGTGGACGGCCAGGTGTTTCCTCAGGTTTGTCTTTGGGTATCGTGTCAATACGCTTTCCCCATCTCCCGTCTCCCCGTGTTCTCTTCCCCTTGCCTTCTGGGCTGTTTTCTTTGTGCGTGCCCACATGTCACATGTCACATGTGCTTTCCTTGCTTCATATCACATGTCTGACGGATTGTTTTCTGCTTTGTATGTGTTCCCACGTCATGTGTGTTTTCCCTACATTATGCGTGCAGGCGTTTGCCATTTGCCTGAGCAGTTTCGATACCAAAGTGGCGTGCGAGTGATTCCATCATCACTTCCATCATCAGTTGAAAGCTTTTCAAGCTGTTGTTTTGTCGAGTCCAAAATCCACGTGCGAGCGAAATAGTGACACCGACGGCTTTTCGCGTTGCGTTCTAGATATGGTGTGGTGTGGTGTGGTACTGATGATGCGTGAAGAGGATTCCTCACTCAGGAACAACCAAGGGCAACAAATGAAAAAAAGACAGCGTGATGATATCTGGGAGACTGGAAAAGGGCATGTGCGTTGTGCTGATACAGCGGGTGGTGGTGGTGGTGTATTTTTTCTGCTTTGTGGTGCAATGCTGCGGATGAAAAGGTACTGGTAAGTTTCCTCTGGAGGAACGGGATTGTCTTTTGTGTACCTCGGATATGGGTTGGTTATTAAGGTTTGGACAATTGTGTTTAGGGACGGATGGTGATGACTGATTCAGGGATGTAGTCATGCTGGTGCCCTTGTTTGTTATTCCTGTACTCTTTGTATTGTAACGAAATTGTGGCTTATGTTTGTATCAGAGTAGAAGTTCACGGTACCTCCTGTAGCTGAAGTGCATCTGCCCGTATCGGGTACAACCGGTTACCAGATTCCTCCTAAAGCTTGGACAATTGTCGGTTCAGCTGGTTCTACAACGGTCAATTTGATACCTAGGCTGGTTGGTTAGGGTATATCGGGACGCTGATTCAAATCTGACCGACTAATAAATGGGACGAGCAGTCGTGTGTGTTGGAGTGGTTCGCAGAACCACACTAACGACGGCGCTCATTATTCGGACCGACGACTAAGACGGACTGACGGTGGCGTGTTGACAGTGCCTTGGGAACTAGAGAGGAAACTACGACATTGCTTGGGAGTATGAGCTACGGCAAGAGAAGTATGGAAGGAAGACATTGACGAGGAGGAAGTGAGGAGAAAGTGATCGACGGGGGGAAATTGTGTGGGTCAACTGTGGCGTGTTCAGCAAGGAACCAAATGCGGACTTCAGGCGCGTTCGACGAAGGTGGAGAAAGGTTGCGTGTGCGACGCGGGGTGAAACGAGGCGCCACGTAACGTGTTGGACACGTTTTGTTACCTAGCCCATTTTGTACCTTGCTTGAACCTATATATTTGTTGTACCAGGTTGTTGAAGTAACACTTTGAAATTCTATCGCTTCAAACATTGTGTTCAATCCTGATTGGTCGAAACTTTGAGCATTTGATGAGACTCCCGTCAGATTCGCGTCAAACCTACGGAGAAGCCTTTGTGAAGGCTTAGACAAGCATTAGTGACGGAAATTTCAGCCGCGAGACTCCCGTCAAAGCCCTGCGAAGGGCCGAACCTGTTTCACTCGAGTGTAGGGCCCGCGAAAGCCCCGTGAAGGATCAGTGAAGACCACGCGAAGCAGAAATCGCCTCAGGATCGCGTCAGGGTTGAGTAAAGGCCTCGTCGAGGCCCCGTTAAGGCCGCGTAAGCCTCCCGTGAGGCGTTTCGCGACCAACACTGTGCTTCTACTTCGTTGCTGTGACATAGCCATTTCTACGAGCTTCACTAGAATCCAGTTTTCTACGAGCTTCGCTAGAATCCAGTTTTCCTCCGCTCGATCTGATTGGTCGACGGGTTCTCGTGGCGGATAGCCCTGGAGCTGACGTGGCAGGGGGTGGAGCTGTCGTGGCAGGGTCTGAGGGAGCCAAACCAGGGCAGGAAGGTTCTGAGAAGCAGACAAAGGCTGCAAGTGGGGGGGGCGAGTGGGAGGCGAGGGGGAGGTAGAACTGGTGTAGGCAGTATCTTCCTGATGGGGGGCCAAGGAGACAAGGAGCAAGGAGAGAGGGGCCAGATCCCAACAATGAAGCGGGAAGTGGTTTCAGGGATAAAAGTGCTTATAAAGGGGGAAGGTGGGGGTGGGGGAGGTTCGGCAGCGGGTGGTTCGGGCCGAACCCGGCTCATGCCAAGCCCGAACCTCCCAATTGCAGCTCCCGTGTTTGTTAAACCAAGCAGTGCTAACAGTAGTACCAATGGTGCTAGTGGTACTGGTGGTGCTGCTGTTGCTGGTGGTGCTGCTGCTGGTGGTGCTAGTTCAAATGAGGCAACTGGGCAAGGCAAGAAGGGCGGTAAGGGGAAGAAGGGGCAGCAGGAGCAGCAGCACGTGAAGGAGCAGGAGAGTGACAGAAGGAGAGGTGCTTATAAGGAGGGCATGGCGAGGCTTCAGCATGATTCCCCACTGATGGAAGCTATGAGGGAGATAGAGGAGGAGGTGGGGGGGAGGAGCGGGGGGGGCGGGAACAGAAGGACCCGCGACCGCTGCGTGGAGTGCTTCATTCGCCGCTCGCGCAAGACCGGCACGTTCACGCTGTTTCTGGGCGTGCCGCCGAATTCGACGGAGAACGGCAAGTTCCTGCTCGCGGCGCGCAAGTGCGGCTGGCGGCCGTCAAGGTAAGCGGATAGCCGACTGCTTTAAAAAATCGTTTGACCCTAAACCGGAGTTGGTGTTTGTGCTTGTAGCCCTATTCTGCCCGTTTAACAAACCCTTGTTTGTGCTGGTTACGCTAATGCCTTCGTTCGCTTCAAATCGCACACCTGAGTTTGTGTCTCGCAAATTCACGTTTGCATGGAAAAAGTGTTTGTGCTGGTCACCCTATTGTGTCCGTTTCGCTCTGTTTCGCAACTTTCGAAATCATTCCAGCATGGAGTACGTGGTCTCGCTGGATCCGAAAGACTTTTCGCGCGGCGGAAGTTCGTTCGTCGGTCGCCTGCGAGCGAATTTCCTAAGCACGCGATTTGCCGTCTTTGAATCGTCGCACGAGGTGAGCGATGAAACCTGAGTTCGTTCGCATCGCACAATGTTAGGAAGGTTACAGTTCTACAACCGACTTTTGAGTCGTCTTAGAATAGACTTTTTTCACACAATATTAAGAAGGTTACACTCCTTCAACCGAGGTGTTTTAGAGTTTGAGTAGTTAGGGGTAACTTGGATGTGAAGACTTCTAGAAGAAGCTTACGGCTCTTCAACCCGCACCCGTATTTGCTACAGTATTGGAGTTCTTCTTTCGTAGTGTATATTGTCTTGACGGATCCGCCGCAGCTACCATAGCGCTCGACACCCAGGGTGTAAGAAAGCTGTCGCGAATGCCATAGGCGAGAAAAATTGCACCCAGTAACGCAGTATTTATCTTCCAAGCCCAAAACTGTCGAAGCTCCTCTCGGCGTCCGTTAATTTGCGCCAATTTTACCGTTTCGCCTGCCCCCCCATTCCTCTCCCTCCCCTCCTCACCCTCACCCCCCCCCCCCCCCCCCCCCCCTCCGCCCTCCCGTCCCCCCCGCGCCGCATTTCCTGCGCATTTCCTCGTGCAGCCCGCGTTTTCTCTCGGCGCGGCGTCGCTGGCGCACGGCGGAAGCAGCAGCAGCAGCCGCAAGGTGCATCCCCGCGGAGCCGCTTTTTCCGCCAACGGTTACCACCACTGTAACCACTGTAGCAATCGGTGTGGTAACCACCATTGTGGTTACAACTGTGGCAGCAGCAGCACGGGCAGCAGAGGGGCCGGCACCCCTGTCGCGTGTAACGGTAACTTGGGCAGCTTTAACGGTTCCAGCTGTAGCGGCGCCAGCTGTAGCAGGGGTAGCGACGGGACAGGATTACTCGGCGCAGGTATTACCAGCAGTAGTGGCAGCGGCAGCGCCATTGGTGGTCGGGGCGATTGTAACGGCGCAAATGACGCTGACACGGCCACGTCAGCAGCGGTATCGTCAAGCCTCCGCGCACATTCCCCGCTTCCGCCTTCCCCCCTTGCTCGAAGCTTCCCTCTTCCGCGCTGTCTTCCGCCTCTCCCGCCGCCCGTTCTTGCGCATACAGGCTCAGTGGGGGGAAGGGGGAGGCGGGGGGGATTGTGAGTGAGTTTGAGTGGGGAGGGGGGGAGAGAGAGGAGGTGACTGTAGAAGAAGTGACTGAAGGGAGAGTGGGAGGGCGGGAGGAAGAGGGGAAGGGAGAGAGAGGGGAGGGGAAGAGAGTGGAGAGAGGGGAGGTAGAGAGGGAGGAGGGGACGGGAGAGGAGAGGAGGAAGAACGAGACCGAGGAGAGGCAAGAGAAGGAGGAGAGGGAGGAGGAGGAGAGATTGCTGGTGAGGCTCACTGGGAGTGGAGAAGAGGAGGGGGAGGGCGAGAAGCAAGAATGCACAGCAGCGGAGGAAGCAAGGGAAGCGAGGGAAGCAAGGTCACCACCCACAATCTGCACAAGAGAGCCCTTGGTCTCGTTCCCAGAGAGTGGGGAAGAGATGGGTGCGGGAGAGAGAATGGGGAGCAGTGGTAAGGAGGAGAGCAATGAGCAGCAGAGCATGCGAGAGGAGGGTGTGGAAGCAGGGGGGCAGTGGGAGAAGAAGAGTCAAGAGGAGAGCAGTCCGGAGGACGGGAGTTTAGAGGAGGGGAATCAGCAGGAGGAGTGTGGGGATTGGCCGACAGACGGCGCGTGTGAGCAGCAGGAGAGCAGTGGAGAGGGAAGGAGTGAGCAGGAGGGCAATCAGGGTTGGTTGCAAGGCGGAGGTTTCCAGGTGGCTTTTGAGTCAACTCAAATCACGCAAGGCGGAGGTTTCCAGGAAAGCAGCGGCAGCGAAGGCCTTCATATCTCCCCCTTCCCCG